TTCTTAAAACTTTATATATTTAAGGATATAGAGCTCTAAGAATGTATATTATGTAATCCCTATATACATAAGAGAATAACCTGAATTATTCAATATCAGGTTTTGAAGTCTATTACTAAACACTGAAAAAGTCAGAGACTCCAACTCTGCATTCAAGCACCATGTTTTTTAAACTCAGTTTACTTTTTCTATAGTTAACTAACAGAGATGGAAGAGACAGTGTTCAGTGTGGAATAGTAATGATGGTTTCATTCTGATTGGGTCTGAAAGTCTGCAATTATAAAGACAATGAAAAGAGTAAATAAACTCTTTTAAAATTTTAGTTACTTCATTAGATAATTTTGTTTCAGTGACACTCTTAGCGAGTCTATAAAGTTTTCAGTAAGAGAAAACCTGTCTGTAGAAGCAGCTGCTCCTGGTGCTTAACAAGCACCTTTTTCCCCTGAGAAAGTGCATACCAAAGATCATCTGCAGCCATAAATACCTCTGTGAGAACGTTTCATTTAACTGTGTGGGATGTGTGAGAGTGTCTGAGATAAAAAGAGCAAGAAACATCTGTTCTGCCCTTCAGTTGTGTGATTGGTCAGTCTCCTAACCACTGCCTGTGTACAAGGTCCCTCTTGTACACAGAAGAAACATATAAATACTCAAGTGTGTTTAATAAAGACAATGCTGCTAGGTGACAAAGTGGTGGTCTGTTATCCTCAACACTACACTATCAATATAAAACCAAGGAAAGATAAGAAAAAAAAAAACCACCCCACCACTCATTTGTAGACTATTACAGATGAAGGTGTTACTTCTTAAATATCATGGCCATCAATAAATAGGGAACTTGGGACCAATTACACTTCAGGCTGTTAAATCAGTTGTGGTTTTTACATGCTCTCAGAAATTTTCAGTCATACAAAAATAATTCATTATAAAATTCTATCACAAAAGTTACTGCTTTTAGATTGTTTTAATGTTTTTCATGAATGTTGTGCAAAATCCTGTGTATTTTTGTGGAGTTGTTGAGTTGATATTAAAGGAACTTTTAGAAGACTGTTAAAAGGGCTTTACTTTTGGGTAGATCAGATGTACATAAGTGTTGCTAATATGGGTTAAAATATATTTAAAATAATCCTTTTGAAATTAGCCTTCATTTCTTTGGTAGAAAGAAGCTATAGGCTTTATATAATTGTAACTTTTTATCTTAGGGCGTTTTTGGTATTTATTAATTTATTTTTTATAATTACAACAGACAATTCATCATTTGAAAAATATGAGAAAAGGACAAAGGAGGTCTTCAGTCCTTGTTACCCACACAGATGTACTGCCAGATCAGCAGGGCACTCACGAAGTTCAGCGTCACATTTCCCATCAAGCAAATGCACTTGGTCACTTCCACATAGCAGCAAGCATCAACCCTAATACAGGTGAAATACAACCATTTATTAGACTGCAATAATGTATTTGCACAACATGGAAAAAATAAAGGAAGCTGAGCTTTGCCTAATTAAACAGAGGAAACTTGTAGGCAGAAATTATGTTATACCTATATATTATAGGTATAATTGTTGTGTCATACTTATAAAATAAGTGAAATGTGTGTGTGTGTACATGCATATATGAATTTTTAAAAAGTGCTTAATATATAGCTTTAAATATATAGCTTTATATACTTTTATATAGTTTAATACATAGATTTTTTTATTTCTTTCAAAATGTCCACAGATATTCCTTCAGTGTTGGCTGGAACTGCTTTTAATATAGATGAAGGCAGTGGAGGCTTCGTTGTCCACTGGCTGAATAATAAAGAATTTCATTTTACATCCTCTATTGAAGTATTCATGCAGCATCTAAGACAAATTTCAGAACAACAACTAGAACAAGATTTTGATATTGAAGCTGAAGAGGAAGAAGAAACAGAAGAAAAAGAAAAAGGCTTACATATGAAGTTAGACCATGGTTAGTAATCTGGTTAGTTCTGATCAGCTAGTATTACCAGCAGATTAAAAAATACTGTGTTTTGAATGGAAACTGATAGGGAAACCTTTGCCTAAAATGGCACATTTCTGTTGCAGATTTGTCTATAGACAGAGAATCAGAGACAGGGACTGGTACAGGCTCTTCAGAACATGAAGATGGAGAAAGAGAGGGAAGCCCCAAAACATCTCTGCTGGCGGGCCCTCGCCTGCCTCTGCCAACAGTTTTGTTGGACCGGAAAATCGACTTGCTCCTAACGGAATGGAACAAGAATCCAGACATGCTCTTCACTATCCATCCTGTTGATGGTACCTTCCTGGTGTGGCATGTGAAGTATTTAGATGAATACACTCCAGGCATCTTTCGCCAAGTTCAGGTATGGTATATTTGAAATGGTTTTATTATTTTTGATGTTAACAAACATTGTCTTTTGCTTTAGAGCTGAACATCAGTAGGAATTTCAAGTACTTCCTGTAAAATAGCTAGCATTTATTCAGGCTGAAGCTAAATTCATATATTCTAATTTTTTTTCTTCTTTTTTTTTTTTTTTTTAGGTTTCATTTTCTTCTAGGATTCCTGTTGCATTTCCATCTGGAGATGCTAGCTCCCTTAGCAAAAATATTATGATGTATGCCTGTCCTGTCTTTGTAAAAGACAGCAGCAGTGCTGCACAGCAGAAAACAATGGACTTGCCAAATAATACTCTAGCAAGCAAAGGACCAAGCTTTGCCCAGGACAGTGGAAATGTGAATATAATTTCTCCTGTGGTAATGATGATTTCCAAGCATATAGATGGCTCTCTAAACCAGTGGGCAGTTACTTTTGCTGATAAATCAGCTTTCACTACTGTGCTAACTGTATCCCACAAGTTCAGGTACTGTGGACACCGCTTTCACCTCAATGATCTGGCCTGCCATTCCGTTTTACCATTGCTGCTGACATCTTCTCATCACAACGCTCTGTTAACTCCCGAGTCAGACACCTCCTGGGACTCCGACAGGATAAACAGGATGATGGATCCTATTAAACATAAGAGAGGTTCTTCTAAGCAGCAACTTAAAAATGCAGCAACCCGTACATTCCATGACCCAAATGCAATCTACAGTGAGCTGATTCTGTGGCGAGTAGACCCCATAGGACCTTTATCCTACACTGGAGGAGTGTCTGAGCTGGCCCGAATTAACTCTCTTCACACCTCTGCTTTCTCTAACGTAGCCTGGCTTCCAACACTAATTCCCAGCTATTGCCTTGGTGAGTATACCTGGCATGTTTCCATGCAGAGTTAACACTGTGACTTGTAGAATTAATTTGTTAAAATAAATTACTGTTTTATTTGGAGTGTATTTGTATTAACTTTTCCAAAATTTCATTTTATTATGCAAATTAAGCATTTCTACTTGTTTTTTGGCTAAGCTACTGCAAATCACTTGCAGTGGTCTGAGTGTTTCTGCAGTCCCTGTGGATCAGCTGACACTCAGGAACTGCTTTGTGTGAGTAAGCACTCCTTGCTCCCACAGAGAACAAGATGCTGCCTTTCCCCAGTGCTTCAGGCAGCTTCCTGGAGTGCTCTTTGCATTGATGTGGTTTGCAAATACAAGTGTGCTGATGGCTTAGGGTGCTGGCCATGTGCAGCTGCAGGGGCAGTGGCTTGAACAGAGCTAGTATTTGGACCACCTGAATATCAGAACTATAGGGGAAGATTTCCAGCCAAAACTGGCATTATGTAATTCCTTTAACATGCTGGCTAAAAACTGCTTAGGAGGTCCTGAAACAGTACTAAAGTTCTTCAGACCACCAGAATCTTACAAAAGCCTGGTTGGAACACAGGATATTTATAAATAAATACATTAACTTTACAGAACTGCAAAGAACACTTTTTCAGAGGTCAGACTGTACAACATATGATGTGTGATGCCCTTGGCCAATTCTTCAGGTTTTGTGTTTTTAATTTTATGGCTTTCCATTGCAATTAAGAAAATTACTTCTACAAATGTTACTCCATCCAGCCACGCAGATATTTATTGTCTAATTATCACAAAGATGCTGTTGTAGTAGTTGTCATCTTTATATACAGTACTTAAAGACATTTGTACTGTGGGTGTAACATTAAATGTTATACTAATGCACAGTTATAAATACATAATATATTTGATTTAAAATAAATTCATTTTCTCTGCTTACATAGTAACATTCTGAGCTGTCTGTATCCCACAAAGTGTTCTAAACACAAATAATAAGCTGCATTCTTGTAGTTTAGAGGAAAATGTATATTAGAGTGTCAAGCCTGTTGTATATACTATTGAGAAGCAAAAAAAGACACTCTTACAATGTTTCATATTTTATTCAGAACTGTAGACAGATCTATTTCTCCCTCCACTTTTATATCTGCACTTTCAAACTGCAGGGCAGAAGGGAATATTCATAGAGGTTAATTTTATGTAAAGAGCCTAGGGTCAATAAACAAAGAAGAAAGCTATGGCTGAATAGTTTCCCCTTAGACTCCTACCCTGAATTGTCTGTTACAACCTTGGGAATCTGGAGTTGGCTCTTCCAAGCAATGCCTGGAGGTGCCAGTGAATCAAACACCACCATAGTAAAGGATGGCAGCATTCCCTTAGGTGTGCTACAGACTGGGGCTTGTGTGAATAGTGCTTGTAAATATACCTGAGTTCACTTAGATTGTTGAACCTTTTTCAGGAGTTCTGGGTACATTCATGAACAGAAAGGGAATTATTTCTAAGTTCAAATTATGTTGTGTTAATGCACACATTTGCTTAGGTTTTTTATTTCAATGCTTGATGAAAATTATGTTTGAAGCATGTTCACATACTGAAGATTGTAATAGACTGCCTCATACCATTGACTGCCATTTTTTTCTTCATGATTTTTTTTGTCTTCTATTAGGTACCTATTGCAACTCTGCTAGTGCTTGCTTTGTTGCATCAGATGGCAAAAACCTGAGGCTCTATCAAGCTGTTGTAGATGCACGAAAGCTTCTGGATGAATTATCTGACCCTGAATCATCTGTAAGTTCTACATAGCAATGGTTTAGTTTGAAACTGTTAAAATACAACTAATGTAACTCACCTTTTCTCCCTTCCAGTGGTTTGTCTTCCTTTAATTCTGTGTGATCTTTGTGCCATTCCATGTATAGATCTTATGCATTACATCTTGTATAGTTGCATGTGTTGCAGCTGTCTTTAAGCATTAGTTGAAAAAATGCAGTTATTACTATTACACTAAAAGTGTCTGCACTAAACCAAAAATTACCATACAAGTTTCCCCAACCTGTGGCAGATGGGAAAAAGAAAAATAGGATTTCTTAGTTTGTCCTCTCAGAAAAGGGGAGTCAAGAGCAAGAGGGAAGATGAAAACAGAAAAGCAAGGCTGAGGTGTATCCACCTGAGCTACATCTCTATATAAAGAAGGGCAGAGATGATGGGATATAAGGATATCAGCTAGGGTCATATTAGCTTTCTTTTTTTCCAATAACTAATTCTTTCATTCTTTTTATCTTTCATTTCTGCGACTTTAGGAAAAGTAAAGCCTGACCTTGTACTGTTATTGTATAAAGAAACACATCTTTATTTTTTTCCATTCTTCTGTTATTTCATCAACCATCTTGCAAGACAGGGCCTGTCAGTATTCAGATCAGTCTGAAGAATCTGTTCTAGGAGCAGTGACTAGGAACATTCCTGCAAAAATCAATAGAGCTTTCAGCTTATATATAAGCTGTACTGAAGGTTTTTCTACATGTTGTGACAAAACCTGAAGCTTGAAAAGAAGTGAAAGGGTATATTGTTTCTCATTGCACCAACACATTATGTGGCGTTATGCAAGGATAAATCTTTAAATTAGCAATATTTAGCTTCCATAAAAACTGGTGTTTCATCCCCATGAAGAGCTACTGACTCACAACAGTGCACATGCTACATTATTCATGAGTGTCAAAGTGACAACTGCAAGAACTCTGTTATGGTTTGTGCCAACAAGAAAAAATTGAAGTATCAGTTTCTCATAAGCAACTGCAATTTTGTTCTGTCCAAAGGAAAAATATACTAATTCTACTCATTTTTCTCTCTTTCAGAAACTTATTGGGGAGGTGTTTAATATTGTGAGCCAACAATCTACTGCTCGACCAGGATGTATCATTGAGCTCGATGCAATAACTAACAAAGTAAATAAATGGTCGACTCTTTAGGGGAATCACATAAGGGTGTTTAATAAATTTGTTTGTTAATTAGCCTAATCTGTTGAAAAGAGACTACATTTCTCTATGGTGACAATGACTGCCTTGAATTTTTGTGAATATTGAGATGCCTTGAGCATTTTACTAAGCCAACTTTTTGTTACCTGCTAAGAGCTCAAAATTCATTTTTAGAGTAAAGCTATATTTTCTAAGCATAATTATTGTAGAAAACAAAACTTTACTAAAGAATGGTTTCCATGGTATCATAATTTAAAGAAAATAATTGCAATCCCCTCAAACCCAAACAAACAAAAATAACTTCTACAAGCTCAAACCTAAAAACTAGATCTAACTATCCAAATTTAAGAATGATAGCCAGGTATGACTTCAAGATTTTGTGTTTGTATTGTAAAATAAATTTATAAATTAGCAAAGCTATACTTATTAATCAATGAGCAGGCAGGATAACTGAGCCTTCTTCTTACTCAGTTATTTTGATGATATATATGGTATATGCTCCAGTGCTGTTTTCTGTTAGCAGCTTGTAAAAACAGTGAGTTTTACCAATTTTAATTGGAAAACTTTGGAGTTTTGTCATTTATAAATAAGTGTTTCTCTATTGTCAATAGATTTCTGTGTCTTTTATGTATCAATAGCATATAATCTTCAAATTTAAGTTCAGATTTATGAAACATTTTCCTATAATTTTTATAAATGTGTACAGGGAATACCATCTTGTTTCTCTGGAAAAAAAGGTGTTTTGCAGCATAACTTTGCCATCACTGTATTTTGGGGATGTATTTTTCCTTACCAGCAGGGAAGGATTTCACCATGAGCAGCCTTCTCTGTAGCGAGGTAAAGTTACTGCAAAGAAATATGTTGTTGTCAGAAAAGATAGATGTTAAGATATCTGAGAGAAGGAAAATATGCAATTTGTTCCCTTTTACAGATTTCCCAAGCAATTTGCTGCAGACATGTCCTCCCACTGAAGTGGGATAAACGTCTGAGACTTTTTGCCACTGTTATTTATTCAACACCAAAGAAATAAAAATGAATCAGATACTAATTCATCTGTCAATAACTGCAGCAGAAGTGTTATTACAGAATTTGTCTGTTCTGGCAGACCTAGGTGAAATTATTTTAATATACAAATGATGAGTTCTAGAACATGCTGTTCATAATATGAAAGATAAATATTAGGGTTTTCTGATGATAATTTTAAACTTTATAAAAGAAAGTCTTCCTTGTTGGTAGCTAGATTGCACAGGGGAAATAATTAATTGCATTAATACTAAATTTTGCTGTACTGTTCTGGAAGCATAACAATTGCTCAATGTTTCAGTGTGGCTCAAACACACAATTGCTTCATGTCTTCCAAGAAGACTTCATTTTGGGATACAAACCACATAAGGAGGATGCAGAAGGGAAGGAAACTGAGATATTTTTCCAGCCATCACAAGGTATAGCATAAACTGTTACTAATATGAATTTAAATGGTACCAAAGATGTTTTTCAGGAATACAAAAAATCTGGCTGGGATGTGGTAATTTACTTGTAAATGATAATTTGTAAAATTTAGTGAAATGGCTGTTATGTATTGCTCATATGAATTGTTGCTAAATTGTGTTAAACAAAGACTTTCTAATTGCTTCGAGTGAAACAGCTTATATGACAGAGTATATTTCTCAAAGTATTTATGGTGTATATAAAATGTGAACAGAACAGAAGCACATTTTCTGCATCAATAGGTAGTTGCAGGTGATTATGTCAATAGATCTGGATTTCAAGTTAACACAATGGAAAGTCACTGGAAGGTTTGGTAGGAGACTTCAAACTTCAAAAGAAAAAGGAAGACAGGTAGAAGAGTCTTTATAATCTAGCAAAATAGTTCAAACTGAATGGAAAGGCAAATATCTAATAAATTAGATTTACCATTAATACTCAGTTTGTCTGTAAGTCAGTATCTATTTTGTAATTCTTCTGTCATCATGAGGAATCAAAATGTCAATTAAAGCATGCTACCAATGATACTGTTTCAATATTTTGTTTTATAATCTAACCATTTATTTCAAAGATGAAAATGGGGTTTTTATTGTGAGTAGTTTTTAGAGAATCTTTTACTACGGAAAAATTATTTAGGTTAAATATAAATTTCATGACCCTATATCAATATATATGTTTATATATTATGTATACGATATGTAAATTACAGGGTATCGTCCACCACCTTTCTCAGAGAAGTTCTATCTGGTAGTAATTGAAAAAGATAGTAGTGGCTGTTCTGTTCTTCAAATGTGGCATCTTCATCTCAAATCTGTGCAAGCCTGTTTAGGTGAGTGTGTGATTGTAATTTTCTTAGACATTTCTATCATATTACTTAAGATAAAACAAACTTTGGTGGTTTATTATAAAACAAATTATATCACCTTTGCCCAGCAGACGCCTAAAAATCAAGAATCTTCAGAATAATATGTCAATGTAATAGAAGCAGTAAAGTTTCTTACAAATATTGATTGCACTTTATACTACTAACAATATTAAAGTGTGTTGATGGGATGAGTAATGTATTTAAGCAGTTGCTTCTTTATTTCAAACTATCAGTATTTCAGAATGTTATGGATGATTTAAATGAATAGTCACAGCATGCAATAAAACTGACACAGCATGCACACATCGTATAATTATTTTGTGTGAAACTTGAGCACTTGTAGAAACAAATAAATTTGATTATCTGACATTCATGCTTTGTTCTTACAAACAATTTTTTAACACTGCTGGCATTTTTTTATAAAGCAAAACCTACTGAAGCATCTTCAGCAGATAATAAGCTTAGTGTACCTGAGCAGAAGACTGTGGATTCTTCTCCAGATGTATCACCTGGCACAAGTCCCATACCACGATCTTCATCAATTGCTAACCTTCAGACTGCTAGTAAACTCATTCTGAGCTCCAGACTTGTGTATAGCCAACCCCTGGATCTTCCTGTTGGTGTGGAAGTAGTAAGAGCAACTCCTTCAGCAGGTAACTTCAACAGTTTTTTCTATACAGTTGGTCCACTATTTATCTCCTAGTTTATAGAATTGTATCTCCCCAGCCTATAAGATTCTGATTTACTAATATAGAAAACACAAAGGACTGAAAAGGTCCTTTCAAATTATCATGCCCGTGGCATGTTGCTCTACTGTACATGTATCAAGTCCCCACAGGAACAGTGTTCCTGAAACTTACTGTTCTAATAGTTGTAAGTGTAACTTTTAATCTATTAATGAACAGTTTATACCCAGTTGCTCATTTGCCATCATTCCTGTGTTTGACATATAGTGGGTTTTTACCTGATGCACTTACACCTTCTTCTGTTTGTCTTTGTATTCTTCTCATTGTTCTAAGAGCCTTTCTCTGAACTAGTTCAGTTCCAGTTTGTTTTCTTTCAATAATGATCAGAAACGCAGATGATAGGTAATGTTCAAGCTGCAAGACTGTTACTGGCTCTGATATTATTTGCCCTTTTCCAAATCCAAATTAAAAAAATAACACCAGGTTGTAAAGTTCTCTAGCAGTAAGTAGACAGTGTTATGTCTGCCTTAATCACAAAGGCATTTTACTGTCTATTACTAAATGTAAATATGTTTGTTCTGACTTCAGGTCACTTGAGTTCCTCATCAATATACCCTGTCTGCCTCGCACCTTATTTGATAGTAACGTCCTGTTCGGACAACAGAGTGCGGTTCTGGAGATGCACTGTGGAGACTGACCTGAACAGCAAAACTGAGGAGAAGGAGACATACCACTGGAGAAAATGGCCTTTAATGAACGATGAAGGGGAAGACAACAGCAGTACAGTGAGCATAGTAGGAAGGCCGGTTGCTGTTAGCTGTTCTTACACAGGACGTCTTGCAGTAGCATACAAACAACCCATACAGCATAATGGGTTTGTTTCCAAAGAATTTTCCATGCATGTTTGTATACTTGAATGTGAGTCTACTGGAGGATCAGAGTGGGTTTTGGAACAGACAATTCATCTGGATGATTTAGTTAAGGTTGGAAGTGTACTTGACTCAAGGGTCAGCGTGGATAGTAATTTATTTGTTTACAGTAAGTCAGATGCTTTCTTGAATAAAGACAAATACCTGGTGCCCAGTATCAAGCATTTGGTGCATTTGGACTGGGTTTCAAAAGAAGATGGTTCACATATACTGACAGTTGGAGTGGGTGCCAACATCTTCATGTATGGAAGGCTTTCAGGGATTGTAACAGATCAAACCAGCAGCAAAGAGGGAGTAGCTGTCATCACCCTGCCACTAGGAGGGAGCATAAAACAAGGTGTGAAGTCAAAGTGGGTGTTGCTGAGGTCCATTGATTTGGTTTCATCTGTGGATGGCACTCCTTCCCTGCCTGTGTCCCTGTCCTGGGTGAGAGATGGAATACTGGTGGTGGGAATGGACTGTGAAATGCACGTATATGCCCAGTGGAAACACGCAGTCAAGTTTGGTAATGGAGAAAGCGATGTTTTTCCTTCTGAAGACTCAACAACGCAAGATCCCCTCAAAACAAGCGCAGTAGTGAAGAAGACGAGTGTAATTGATGGGGCAGGTGTTGTGGATGATGTTTTTGGCACTCCAACTGTAATTCAGGATGGGGGCCTCTTTGAAGCTGCTCATGTTCTTTCACCTACTCTACCCCAGTATCATCCAACCCAGTTATTAGAACTGATGGACCTGGGTAAAGTTCGCCGAGCCAAAGCCATTCTGTCGCATTTAGTTAAATGCATTGCAGGAGAAGTTGCAATAGTCAAAGACACAGAGGCTGGAGAAGGGACTGGTCCTAAACGCCATCTTTCTCGCACCATCAGTGTGAGTGGCAGCACTGCCAAGGATACCATTACTGCTGGGAAGGATGGCACCCGAGACTACACAGAGATAGACTCAATTCCCCCACTGCCGTTGTATGCACTGCTTGCTGCTGATCAGGATGCCACCTATGTTGTCGAAGAAACTTCTAAAATACCTCAGGGCTCTGAAGACCATGCAAAGAGAAAAGCAGAGGATCAGTACTCAGATCTGTTCCAGATTCAACCTGTTACAACGGAAGACTTTATAGATTTTGAGCCTGAAAAGAGGGAGAGTAAATCCAAAGTGATTAATCTGTCACAATATGGGCCAACTTACTTTGGCCGAGAGCACGCCAGTGTCCTTTCAAGCCACCTGATGCACTCAAGTTTGCCAGGCCTCACTCGACTGGAGCAGATGTTCCTTGTAGCTTTGGCAGACACTGTGGCCACGACAAGCACTGAACTAGATGAGAACAGAGATAAGAATTACTCAGGTTAGTAACTGACATGTTATTGAATTGACATTCTTATTCTTCTCAGCAAAGGTAAACTTAGTCCTTGGGTATTTTGGGATAACAAAGATGAAAGCTAGCATCACTTATTCAGGTTAGATACAGCAGGAAAGAAAAACAGATGTAAGTAAGAACTTGAAGTTCATACATAATAAATATCTTGTAGTTCAGGTTGTCAGCAGCCTTAGAAACATACATTTCTCACACACTGTTATGATAGCTTGTATCTCTGCCTACTGTATGTTTCAGCTGCATGTTTAAAAGTGTTTTCTGTGGCACAGGAAGAGATACCTTAGATGAATGTGGCCTCCGGTACCTGCTGGCCATGCGCCTGCACACCTGCCTGCTGACATCCCTGCCTCCCCTGTACCGTGTCCAGCTGCTCCACCAAGGTAACCCTCACAGCTCTGCTTACCTTTGATTTATAATGTCATATTTCTATTATCTGCATATTAATTTCTATGTCCTTAAGGCCATTATCTTGCAAAGGCTTGGTGTAGACTTCCCTACATAGACTGTAAATAGCAAAAAAATTACAGCTTTAGAGTAGAATATTCTGGCCTATCCAGTTTGAGGCATGAATAAATTGCCCAACACAGATTGTATATATAATTCATTATTTCTGCTAGAAGAATTAAGAAATTTCCTTACATGAGCATGGGTTTATCCTAAAGAATATTCTATTATTTTCATCACAACAGGTTGGGGTTTTTTGCTTAATCTGAGTAAATGTTGTGAAATAACACAAGTTGTTTCACAATACAAGCAAAGAAGTTACCACCTAAAGAGCAGAGAGAAGGGTTTCTGGCCCAAAATGGGTCTGCTTCTATTATAACAGTATATTTTTCCTTTGGTCCTTCAACATATAATTCTTGTATAGTTATGAAGAGGGTACTGGAAAATTATGAAAGAAGTACAGAGGGGAGGACATCCCTAGCAAGCAAAAAGATACTTCAGCTGTTCATTTAACAGCTGTACTTCCTTTTGGGGGAATCAGTGTCTCTCAGATGTACCCAGCCCTTGGGTTGGAGACCCCACTTTGCATCCCTGAAATATTCCTTTTGCTTATTAGCAACTCTTAGTCTTCTGAATTGTATTGGTTTATGTTATTGTTTAGGCCTGTCAACTTGCCATTTTGCATGGGCTTTCCATTCTGAGGCTGAGGAGGAGTTGATTAATATGATTCCAGCTATCCAGAAGGGAGACCCACAGTGGTCTGAGCTGAGAGCTATGGGCATTGGTTGGTGGGTCAGGAATATCAACACTCTCCGAAGGTGCATTGAGAAGGTACCTTTTACTGGTTACAGATTCTAGCTCCATGCTGTTAGATGTGTCTACTATACTGAATTTCCAAGACATCTAATATAAAAATACATTTTTAAATATTACAGTTCATTCAAAGAATCCAGGAGCAAAACAATTATCCTAGTACTCCAAATCCAATTACATGAGAGTCCTATACAAAACCCAAACAGTGTTCATTCAAGAAATACTGTTATTAGCTTAAGTATTTTTAAGTAATGGATTGCCAGAGAAATTTCACTTAATAGTATGAGTTACTGTAACAATTTAAAAGAAAATATTTTTATTTGCACATTGCTAATGTCCCACTGTGCTTGAGAGGAGTTGCTGTCTGCAGTAGTGCTGTATTTCTGACTCTTAAAAGCATTTGCAGTGTAGAGCTCTGTTACATAGGAATCAAACATCACAGAAATTACTTTGCTGCTTTGTAGAAATAACACAGTCTACCTGGCAATCCTCTGTGACAAAGAACACAGGTTATTTAGCTAAAAGCAGCTTTTACATGTTCATCAATAATAGTAGGCTTTGTTCACTACAGGTTGCAAAAGCTTCGTTCCAGAGGAACAATGATGCCTTAGATGCTGCACTTTTTTACCTTGCTATGAAGAAAAAAGCAGTGGTGTGGGGTCTGTTTAGGTGAGTTCTGCTGACTTGAAGTTTGATTAAATCTTAATTGAACCAGGAATACAAAGCAGAATTCATTCAAGAGTAGAGTTAATTTCAAGTAATGTTGTTCAAGTGATAGTATGCTGAGGTACATAATAAATAGCTCTATACATTGCATTTCTTTATACAGGTCCCAGCATGATGAAAAGATGACTGCCTTTTTCAGCCACAACTTCAATGAAGACCGATGGCGTAAAGCTGCTTTAAAAAATGCTTTTGCTTTGTTGGGAAAACAACGTTTTGAGCAGTCAGCTGCATTTTTCTTGCTAGCAGGTTCACTAAAAGATGCTATAGAGGTATCTGCTTTTGAGAAATTAAGTTTCAGTTTTTAATTTGATCTATGTTACTGCATCCTTACAAGCTGTCCTCTGAAGTTTTCACAATTTGTGGCAGCAGAAATGGGATGGTATGTCCACACAGGACCCCCTTTTGCCCTGCAGACATACCATTTACCTCCACAGTACTGTGAAAAGCAACTGGGAAGCTGATTTGAAATCCAGAATAATTGTTCAGATACCATTCCTCAGTGGAAGTACTCTTGTGAGTACTTGGAACTGTGACTCTTCTGGCAAAACTTTGTTTGAACAGCACAGTTAAGTTGTAGCACTCTGTTCAGCCTCGAGCCATTCTGCATGACCTCTTGGTGCAATATTAAGTAAAAAAAAAAGTCAAGAGTTCTCTTGTGAAGCAGTTCTGGAATCCCTTTTTAGTGGAGCTATGATGTTGCTTGGCACAAGGGCGGTGGGAGCTGTGAGAAGGAAAAGCTAAGCAGTATCTCTCAGGAGAGGATAGGATTTAGAGAACCTTTAGAATATCTGCCTATTTATTTTCAGTATGTTTGTCTTCGCTTGAGAATGTATTTTCCTCAGAGATGTAATTCTACATGAGATGGTGTGAAAAATATCTTACCAGTGACATAATAATATGAAAGTTGGAGGGTGCAATTATTCTACTAGATGGAATAAAAATAGACATCCTTATCTTCTGCCATATTATTTTTTTAATGCTATGTACTTCTACGCATATTAAATCCCTAAAATAGAGAAAAGTACACCTTTTTCCAAACAGCAGAAAATGTTACTTGGATATTTATCACTTAACGTATTTTTGACCTGAAGATTAATTTATACTTCAAAGAACAGATAAGAGGAGGAAAAAAATATCTGTTCTGTAAACATATATTGCTATTCACTTTATTTTATAGAACTCCCCTTATAAAACAACCTTTTCCCCACTCCTTATCATAGGTGTGCCTTGAGAAAATGGAAGACATCCAGTTGGCCATGGTCATTGCTCGTTTGTATGAATCAGAGTTTGAAACCTCTGTCACATACACCTCCATTCTCTATGAAAAGATTTTGGGTTGCCAGAAGGATGGAACTGGATTCAGCTGTACTAAGTTGCATTCTGATCCGTTTCTGAGAAGCATTGCATACTGGATAATGAAAGATTACACACGAGCACTGGATACATTATTGGAACAAACGCCCAAAGATGATGATGAAAACCCAGGTAAGGGAAAAAATATTAATCTGATAGGGAAAACTTATTAAGAAAAGAAGAGAGGGTCTTCAACCCTCTAACACCAAACTTAGTTCCTGCTGTCAGCTAAGCTCAGGAGAGCTGTCTTTGTTTGGCACTTCCATACAATTCTTCTTTAGTAATGAATGCTGGTTGGTCTTTTTTCCAGTGGACTTAAATTCTTACTCTTGCTTCTAGGAATTAGCAGTATTGTAGCAGGATTTCGTATCCCATCTATTCAAGATTAATGTTAAGAGACAGATGGCTACATAGGTTTCATGTTCCCTATAGGAATTTCCTTGGGGAAATCTCTACCTGGACGATCATCTTAGCTGCGTGCAATATCACTGCAAGGCAAATGACAGAATTTGTATCTTTCTACTCATTCAGCTCATACCTTTATTCTTTTTGTGGAGAATAAGTAATTATTTTGTTTTGTTTTGATTACTAGACCCAAAATTGTCTTTGTTTATGTGTTTTGATGAATCTCTAATGCAGGAAATAACTGCAAAACAGAATAATACTATCTAAAAGGCATTTTCAGAGGATGTCATATCTGTTTAATTCCTCAGTTATCGTCAAATCCTGCAATCCTGTGGTGTTCAGTTTCTACAACTATCTTCGGACCCACCCTTTGCTCATCCGAAGATACTTCAGCTCCCCAGAAGGAACTCTCGCCACCTTAGGTCTAAAAACTGAGAAAAGCTTTGTTGATAAAATTAATCTTATAGAAAGAAAATTATTCTTCACTACTGCAAATGCTCACTTTAAAGTGGGCTGCCCTGTACTAGCTCTTGAAGTCCTTTCCAAAATTCCAAAAATAAGAAAAAAGTCTACTGTAGCTGGAGAAAAAGATTCATCCAGTCCTTCAATCCAGACTGACATTTCAGATTCCAAAGCCCTACAGGATGGTGCTGGAAGTGGTGATATAGACTGGTCAAAACCCATTTCAACTTCCTTTGCTTTGGGGAGCACTGCTGAATCTTCAGCACAATTTGACTGGAGTCAACCAGCAGTAAAATTTGATGATGAGCCACTTACTCTTGATTGGGGTGAAGACAAAAATGGATCAGATGAAGAAGACAAGGATGTTGGGATAATGATGAAAAAGTCTGATTCTAAGAGTGAAGATGAGAAGACCTCAGACACCAGCATGGCTCAAACACCACATGGCGAGGTTTCTGAGGCAGGAGACACTGAGGTTGATGTTATTGCTGAGCAATTGAAATTCAGGGCCTGTTTGAAAATCCTTATGACTGAACTGAGGACTTTGGCTACAGGTTATGAAGTGGATGGAGGAAAGCTCAGATTTCAACTGTACAACTGGCTGGAAAAAGAGATTGCTGCTATGCATGAAATATGCAACCATGACACAGGGGACAAAGACTACTGTAAAACATATACCAAAGTAAATGGGGATCTGCTTGACCCGGAAGATATTATGGATAAGCCAGACATTGGCTCGTACGAACGGCACCAGATCGAAAGACGCAGGTTACAGGCCAAGCGAGAACATGCTGAGAGAAGGAAGTGGTGGCTGCAGAAGAACCAAGCTCTTCTCAGGGTTTTCCTCAGTTATTGTAGTCTTCATGGGGCACAAGGTGGAGGTTTAGCATCTGTAAGGATGGAGCTGAAGTTCTTGCTGCAGGAGTCACAGCAGGTAAAGCAATTCAAAATTAATTTCTGCTGATGAATGTGAACAGTTCTAGACTGTCAGTTATGTCAAATGCATGAGTTTGTGCCTAGATAGTTTCTGGTAATGTTCTGTTAGTCTAATGGTCATGATAATTTTAATGTTCTTGGAGAAAGAACTTGCTATTTAAGTGTGCTGCATTTCCCAATATGGATTATTTGGTTTTGAAGAATCTGCTATGTGACACTGAGGATCAGGCTACTTATGATTATGGAATATAAATGTTGCTGTTTCATATTGTAGCTGCAGCGTTGTCTATGTTACTGTGACATAATTTTGGTCACAATTTCTAGGTACCTATATAATAAATTAAATTCACAGTTACTGAAATAAAACAATGTCATTCCTAGACCTCTACAGATCATGCAAAGGAGCTACAAAGAATGGGCTGTTAGCTTCAAGGCTCAACAAATAATATAAAGTCAGACAGGGTACTACTCACTTTACTCAGTTATGGCATTTTCTACATTTCATACAAAAAGGGATATTTTACAGCAAATGTTAACTACTACATTGAGCTACAGCAAATAATCTGATACTGGGCAAGTCTTTTCAAATGCTCTAGTCCTAGAGTTTTCCTATTTCAAATAGGAGCAGCAGACAGCTGTTTTGGTGGTACTTGGCTTAGAATGTACATTAAAGAATTTTTTAAAGTTCTGTTTGTTTCCCCTTGAGAAACTCAGATGAGTAAAAATTTGGCTTTGTTCCTAAACTCAGACCCTCAGACCATTGACTATTGTACCAACTTTTGCTACTGCAAGTACATTTTTAGTTAGTGTTTCTTAACAGACAATCTCCATGCTTCCTAATGAACTACATGAAAATACTCTTCCTGCATGAAATCAAAATGTGCTCCAGCAAACATGGCTATCAGGTCTGAACCTTGTAATTATAGTAAATAATTACTTGCTTTTGACAGTAAAATCTTGTGTGTACTGAGTAGACAGCAGTGGAAGAGGATAAATAATCTGGGAAATATATTTAAGATGTAAAATTATCTCTGTTTTTTTTTTTTTTCAAAACAATGATTTTAAATACAGTCTTTTCTTTTAAAACAGGAAACTACTGTAAAGCAACTCCAGTCTCCGCTTCCACTACCCACAACACTTCCACTGCTTTCTGCAAGCATAGCATCCACAAAAACTGTGATAGCTAATCCTGTGCTGTACTTAAACAACCACATCCATGATATACTTTACACTATTGTGCAGATGAAGTCACCACCACATCCTAATATTGAAGATGTCAAGGTAATTCATAGCTTTAATCTAAGGCCTAATGTTTGATGAAATGGAAAGATAGCAGGAAAAGACAGGAATGAGCACAGGGTGAGTTTAGGAAAATTTTACTTTTTTAATAGTTGGATAGTACCATTTTCTTCACACTGGGGATTTCATTGAACTTTCCAAGAAATCCTTGCATTTCCTCTTTTTAAGAACTGGACTGTTTTTGTTGCCTTGTGAGGCAGAACCAGTTATTTTGTTACTCCTGGAGACTAATGGAATTTATAAACACATAACTGAGGTAAGGAAAGATATTTTAGATAAAACTATTATATTATGACTACACAAACTTTTTGTATTTTATGTGTATTGAGTAGGTATTGCTACATTGAACTGAAGTGTTATATAGTACGGCTTCCAGGAACCATTCCATCAAATTCATTGTCATAACAGGATGTGCTTAATCACTACTTCAGTGTGCTCATTTACTGTGGCTGTTCTGTATTAGAATCAAGGTAATTATATTGACATAATATTAGAAGGTGTTGACTGCCATCAAATTATCTTGAACAAATAGTTGTGATTTTCTAAGCACTGTACTGTAAACTTAAAGTAACATTCAGTTACTATTTCTTGCACTTGCTTTAAAACTAGGACAGTCCTGCAAACACATTTCCAATACCCTTTAGAAAGAAATGTATTTTACTCACCTTTTATATAAAACATATAGCTCATTGATTCTCTTTCTTTTAGGTGTACACACTTCACTCTTTAGCAGCTTCTCTTTCTGCATCCATTTATCAAGCACTATGTGACAGCCACAGCTACAGGTAAAGAGGGAAGTTTTCATATAGTCCTACATTTGCAGTATACTTTGTGCATCCTAAATGGAAATTCTTCCTGCATGTGAATTAAAAAGGGATTAAATGTTTGTTAATGGGTAAAGATACTTTCACATATTAAACATTGCTAACTTTGATATGCCCATTCAATTTTACACAGATAAAATAACACCAACCATTCAGGGTTTTTCAGTAAACAGTAGGAAAATATGATGTCACTCTCATTTGGGATACTCACTTTCTCATCAGAAAAATATTTATTTGTGTGCAGCAGTCAAACAGAAGCAAATCAATTTACTGGGATGGTCTATCAAGGACTGCTTTTGAGTGATCGACGCAGACTGAGGACAGAAAGCATCGAAGAGCACGCAACTCCAAACTCATCTCCTGCTCAGTGGCCTGGTGAGACTAAAATAAGGCTACTTTTAGCTCCACTGGGCCAGCTCCATGTGCCAGAATTATTTCACTGTCCTGTATGAGAGATTAAATAGTGGATAATCAATGACAGATGTTTCTAACTTAATTCTCAAAATAGTAACAGCCTTTCACTTCTTCATGTATCAAAACAAATAAAAATAAACTTTGTATGTGGCAAACATCTTGCTTGAAGAAGAGATGATGATCTTTAGGATAAACTTAATGACAATTTGTCACCCCAAAACGTTTTCCTCCAGTCTGCCTAACCCCTTAGCAATGCTACCTCTTTTGTCTCCACAGTACTGTCCTACATGTGTGCTGTACTTGGTATAGCTGTCAAAGCAGCTAATTCTGATGTACAAGCATAAACTATGGAAATGGTGCAGGAATTTCATAGGCACGCTGAGCTGCCCATAGTATTTGCAGAGAAGTGCATTGCAAAAGTCCCAGACCTAAGAAGGCTTTTTATAATTTTGATATTTTTGATTTTAAGGAAACTGTTAACAGTATGTTTCATCTGAATAAAAGCATCATGTGGCTACTAGCGTTTACCATAAAGTGTAAAGGTAAAACATTTCCTTTTTGTCCATTTGTCCTCCTACTCATTTAATCCCATAATGTTTCCTCTTTGCAGGTGTGAGTTCACTTATCAACCTCTTAAGTTCAGCTCAGGATGAAGACCAACCAAAGCTGAACATCCTGCTGTGTGAAGCTGTTGTAGCCGTGTACCTGAGTCTGCTGATCCACGCCCTGGCCACCAACTCGTGTAACGAGCTGTTCCGGCTGGCGGCGCACCCGCTCAACAGCCGCATGTGGGCTGCTGTCTTTGGAGGGGGCGTCAAGCTGCTCGTGAAACCCCGCCGGCAGTCCGAGAACATCCCAGGTACACTGCTCCCTACAGCTCACATTAATGGTGTGCATTTTATGCCTCTTCTGGTAGGAGAACCTTCCTTCCTTTTAAAGAACAGAATTTAAGAAACTACCGGCAAGAAAACACATTCACTAAAAAGCTGAAACAAATAATACTAGCCTCACAGTTGTCCTTTGTAATGGTATACAGCACATTTTGTATTTGCCATAAAACTGTATAGTTATTATAGTAATAATAGTAATAGTAGACGCTTATCTATAACATTTTTCAGGACTTCCAGCCATTATTTTTAGGGGAAAAAAAACCCCAGGTGATATAAATCAGTGTTAATACCTATGGGTTTTTTATGGGAGATGAGTGTTGTTATTTAATGACTGCAGTAAGTAGGAAACAATATCTCTGAAATCAGTTTATATTGCAAGGTAGAATTTCACCTAGCACAAGACCACAGAGAAGAAATACCAACTTCCATCTGGTAGAAAAACAGCTCATGCATATGTAAGCTCCACCTAAACCCAGGATTTTTACAAAGATGAGCAAGTGTTAATATGCTGCATGAGGAAAAGCAAAGGTAGAGATTGAATTCAGACTCTGAAGAAAAGGACAGATACAACCATTTGTGATAAACTTCAGCAATACTGAAAATCAGATCACACAGACTTGAAACTTATGCAAAAATTAGACATTCTCTCTCCAGAATAAAAAACCAAACAGTAATGAGGCATTGCACCATTACAAGTATATACAACAGGTATCTGTCATTCATGGAATAAGTTAAACTCATTTAGGGCATTATTTTCATAAGGTAATAGCATTAATAACTTCTATAAGTTGTGTTCATTTGAGATGTATTCTGTTTTCCTTTAACCTTCAAGCTGCTACAGCTTCTGATGTTGCAGAGGATGGTAATGAAGGTTTGTAAAGACTTGCAGTGTAGATGAGTGTTGGTAGTGGCTTTTTTGGACAAACAGAATAGCTTTTAAATACCTAGCTCCCTTGTAATAAAGTAAGTGTAATATTCAATGTTGGCAGGCCAATAACACTTTGAAAAACAAATTCCACATTAATATTTTGGTTACTATTGAGGCATTTTAAATCATAAACCTTGCAAGTAGACTTCAATTGTCTAAAAGCCTGTCTTTCTATTCAGATATTTTCTTTGATACCCTAAGAATTCTTTGGTTTATATTTGAGTAACTGCTAATTGTGCAGGATAATGTTTAGTGATATTTTACATATTCCATTATTTCTCAACAAAGTTTCTGAATTTCCTTATTTCTTTCTTGAGAAATTGTTCAGCTAAAAGACTTTTTAAAAGCTACATCTCAAGAACTTAATCCAGTATGTAAATCTAAAATGTATTTCCCAAAATATATCCAATGTCTAAATGCCACAGTTATTGAATTTATTATAATGAAACTTTTTTATGATTGCACTTACTTTATTTAGGCTGGCTTTGATTCTAAATGAGTAGAAATTAGTACTAATAACAGTGGTGTTAGTTGCTTCAGTTATAAAATACAGACATTTTAAAGATGCAGTACTAATATCAGCTTTTTTAATTACCTGATTTTAGCACCTCCTCTTCCATCAGAAGAAATGGATAAACACCGCCGTCGGTTCAACATGAGAATGCTGGTGCCAGGAAGACCAGTAAAAGACAGCAATGTGCCACCACCTGTACCTGCAGAAAGACCCTCTTACAAAGAAAAGTTTATTCCTCCAGAACTCAGCATGTGGGACTATTTTATGGCAAAGGTAATTGAAAATTCCATTAAATTTTAAAGGACAAAAATAAAGTGAAAATTTTGAGCACTCTTAGTAGTAAGATGCAGAATATTATCCTGATGATAAAGGAAAAAGAGCTTACAAGTCTATTACTTCACTTTCAAAACATGCCTCTTGTCAGTAATGGTGATTAACGCTTACCCCCCTTGCTAATTATTTGTATTTCTAGGGATATTGACTTAGAGGTTAAATTGCTATCACTTAAATTCTATGAGAGTCATAAGTGAAGTCAGAGAAGAGATGAGAATATTGTTTTTATACAGACTTTTGCTTTGCATTGCAGCCCTTTCTCCCTTTATCAGACAGTGGTGTTATCTATGATTCTGATGAAAGCATTCACAGTGATGAGGAAGAGGATGATGCTTTCCTCTCTGATGTGCAGATCCAGGAACACACTGATGCCAATTCTTACAGGTCAGCAGAAATTGTCACTATTTTAGAATAATTTTGTTAAATGCTTACCTTTGCTTCCAAATTCAAAATCTTATGGATCTTCTGCACCATCCAACATAATTGAAACAATTTTAGTACTGTGGGCAGACTTTTCTATGGCAGTGGGATTACAGAAATTACAAATTCTCATCACAATAACAGTTCCCCATTTACTTGCCAGAAAAAAGGGATTAGGAAGTTGAAGTTGTGTGGTTTGCAGTTTTTTGGGGAGGGGAAAAGAACTGAGAAGCACCCATTTTCATTTTTAAGGCTCAAAATAATATAGCACAATGCCAGCTCTAGAATAATGGTCTAGACTGCTGATTCAAGCATGGAGTTTTTCAGTGAGGTGCAGGTTAAATACAACCTTCCTACAGTGTTTTTCTAACCTGTGTATTTGCTTGAAGATGAAAAAAACTCTGTAGATATCTCTTAATGGTTTTTTAACGTGACTAAATCTATTCTTTTTATACAGCTGGGCTCTTCTACATCTGACAATGGTAAAATTAGTTCTGCACAACATTAAGAACTTCTTTCCCATTGCTGGTCTGGAATTCACTGGTATGCTAAATCCTGCTTCACATTTTATTTTTCTGCATATATGGCTTTCTATTGGACTTCATGTTCTAATTTTAACTTTAAAATTAAAATAATTAAATATATTATTTATTACAATTGCCAACATGTACATTTCCTTTCAAGATTTTTTTTGATGGTTATGTTGTTATGGGGATTTTATATTCACTGTAGCTTAATATTTTTTTTCTCTGAGCCTTACTTCATTAATATTTCTGTTTAGATCTGCCTGTAACATCTCCATTGGGCATTGCTGTAATAAAAAATTTAGAACACTGGGAACAGATTCTTCAAGATAGAATGGACCAGTTTGAAGGTCCACCTCCAAACTACATCAATACTTACCCCAGTGACCTGGGTGTAGGGGCAGGACCAGCTATTCTCCGCAATAAAGCCATGATTGAACCTGAGAACACACCATTCAAGTAAGTATTTTTTTGCTAGCAAAACCACATTCTTTGATCACAAAAATTCTAAAGAGCATTTCCTCCTCATGTTAAACAGCCAAAGATTGTCTAGCTCTTAAGTCTAGTAGCCAATGTTTTACAGAAACCATTTTCCCACATCCCTTTGTTCATTCTTATGCAGCTGCCTTTACTTCCTCTGCTGCACTTCTCACAACTGCAACAAGAGAGGAAAATGAGGAAAGAGCAGAGGTTGTAGGAATCAAGGGCAGTGGCTGCTGCTGGAAACACCCTATTCAACCTGTTTGACTATTCCTTCAGTAGCAGTTGTCTCTCACTCTATCCCAGCAACAGCAGAGTTATATAATACATGCAGATGTCTGGGGGAGGAGAAAGACAGTTGTACTAAGGTCCTTTTAAGGCTAATCCTCTTGTGTTTAGACAGTGTCATGCCTGGAGGTGTCTGTAAATGCAGATAGTGAACTGTGTTTTCAATTCAGAAATAGCTTGCTTTTCTCAATATATTAAACTACAACTGAGTCAACAGTGCAAAATGAGTCAGCAGTGCCCTGGCAGCCAGGAGGGCCAAGTGTGTCCTGGGGGCATCAGGGACAGCACAGCCAGCCAGGCAATGGAGAGGATTGTCCTACTCTGCTCTGCACTGGGGCAGCCTCACCTCAAGGGCTGGGGCAGTTTTGGGTGCCACAATATAATAAGGATATGAAACTATTAGAGAGCATCCAAAGGAGGGCAGTGAAGGTGGTGAAGGGTCTGCAGGTGAAGCCGTGTGAGGAGCAGCTGAGGGCACTGGGTCTGTTCAGCCTGGAGGAGACTGAGGGCAGACCTCACTGCAGGTACAGCCTCCTTGTGAGGGGAAGAGGAGGGGCAGGCACTGATCTCTGCTCCCTGGTGACAGTGACAGGACATGAGGGAATGAAGGGCCTGAAGCTGTGTCAGTGGAGGCGTAGGTGTGTAATTAGAAAAAGCTAAATGGCAAATTCCACCATGTGCACTCTCAGGCACATGGTGGAATTTTTAGATTTGAGTTAGACTTCAATGATCCTTGTGGGTCCCTTCTAACTCCGGATACTCTGTGTTTCTTTCTTTCTTCTGTTTTATGCAGATCAAAGGATTACTCAGCTCTTCCAGCAAAAAGGCTCTGGCATTTTCTTGTGAAGCAAGAACTTCTTCAGGAGACTTTCATAAGATATATATTCACAAAGAAAAGAAAGCAGAGTGAGGTAAACAAAGGATGTAACTTTTTTTAAAAAAAAGCTCAATTATAACTGTTTTGTAGTCTCCTCAGTATTTAGTTTTTCTTCCCATTTTTCATCGACATTTCAGTTTCTCTCATTTAACAATGTTTGGATTTTTTTTCAAAATCAACATGACTGCCATGTTGTTGATTGGGATAGCAACTGAACCAAATATTTTTAACAAGTCATATTTCACCTTTATGTATTTGAATACTATCCTAATAAACAGAACATTTGCAATAACAGTAACAAGCAAAGAAATTTGAAAATTCTTTCTTTTTTTGGTGTGTCATACTGAAAAAGAAATTTAAATGTGCTATTCATTTGTGTATATGTATATATGCATGAGTAATATATACATATAAAGGTAATATTATATAGCAATATATAATATGGGGCTTTACAAATTGTACCAGTTACAACTGCTATGTTCTGACTGAAAATTTAAGCAAGCACATAATTATCATGGGAAATAAGTATATTATTTGGTATCTTTTAGAATTCCTGTAAGTATGGAGTTTGTGTGTGTATTATTCCTCCATTTATTTACTATATCATACATTTTGTGTTCATCTAGGAGGCATTACATTTTAAGTGAGTTTGTTTAGCTTCCTGTCTTAGTTTCTGTGCCTTTTATAAAAAGTTAAAAATACATTTGTCTTCATTTACTGACAGAGTGGCCTTTAAAATCTAGTTTGGAATGTTTCATTCTTTTTTTATATTTGTTTGTGCATGTGTTTTGTGTTTGTGACTGTGTGATGTTATGTAGTCTGTAGAAGATCGTGTGGAGCAGGTCAAACAAAACTGCGTAGCAGAAGATCACAAAAACAAGGTAGTATCCCTTCTCCCAAACCTCTAGCACATTCTTAAAAGTTCTGTGGAACTGGCTTTTCTTTTCTAATGTGACTAACAGAAGCTGTGTGTTCTGTGTAGTCTGTGTGACAGGCTTTTAATCCATGAACTAACTTCAGATGTCCTGATAATTGGGATGAGTGAACACCTTGTAAATAGTGTTGCACACACAACTTTGTGTTTCTTACACTCAAATATCACTTTTGGCTACTAGAACACCAAAGAGTATGAGAACTCTAAAGTGTAGCTACTGAAACAATGCTAAGGCCACTGAACTTTTCTTGCATGAATTTTGTATAGATTTTTGCACTCTGAATGTATCACTAAAAAATGGATTTTCACTCTAATTGAAGCTTTTTATAAATGTTTTGTAGGTTGAAGCAGATCTTGGATACCCTGGAGGAAAAGCAAAAATCATTCACAAAGAATCAGATATGATAATGGCATTTGCAGTTAACAAGGTAAGCCTCAAATACTACATGAAATGTAATAAAATATCTTAATTATAGTTAGTATAAATTTTGTGTTTGTACTGCATAGGCAAACAGCAATGAAATTGTTTTGGCATCTACACATGATGTTCAAGAACTTGATATTTCAGCTCTACTGGCTGCTCAGTCGTTTATATGGATTGGGGAAGAATATGACAGAGAGTCTAAAAGGTAGGATTGTTTCTTTGTGGTTATATTAATAAGAGTATTGATATTCTGTGAGGCTGTGTCTGTATTACCTGTGTAAGCACAAATGGAGCATACAAAAAACATTAATTACTCTTCTTCAGTAGGTTTCAGATTGCTTTGCAAGTGAGGGAAAGCAAGAGAATAATTACTGTCTTTAAGAATGTGTGCAGTGTGCAGTGAAGTGAAATTCCATGTGGTGCATAAGATAACGAAGGAAGTGCTGCCTTGGACACCCTGCAGTTCCCTTGCATCAGTGCAGTGTGGAGGGCAGCTGTGGTAGCTGGTGCTGGCTGTTCTGTCCCCTCCATTCCTGTGCTGAGAGGTGTCAGTGCATCACCTGCAGCGAGCACTCCTCTGCACCAGCTCCCTGCACACTGCACACACAGGTCAGGGACAGCCCAACAATATTCTTCTCAGGGAAGTTTATATTCTTATACTGGGATCCTCTCTTGAGATTAAACATGGATAGATTTGGGGCTCATGGAAAGAATTTGTATTGAGTAAGTGCAGGAATTATCAATTTATAGCCTCATTATTGTCACTTTCTTTACCCGCTGCCATTAGGCTCTTGACAAATATTAAAGATTATTAGGAGCAAAGAAGTGTTTGTTTAAAGCAGAACTGTTCTTTTACAGTTCTGATGACGTTGACTTCCGTGGTTCTACCACAACACTGGCTCCTTCA